AGTTTCTAATTTTGTTGCAAAACCTCTGAGCTGACCTGGACTCACTTGGCGGCAAAACCTGCTCGAGTGGGCGTAAGGCTCTTAGACTCTTTGCTTATCTTGCTTCGCAGGACAATTGATTTGTCTTGCTGTTTGATCACAGAGTGCCACCCCAGATCCTGCCAGGCCTACTGCTTACCTTGCTGAAAGGCATATGCTCCAAATTACTTTTCTAAAATCCTCGGGTTTCTGAATTCCAAACCCTTCTGACACGGAGTTTCTGATGGTACATGGCTATATCAATCTACTCTCCTCTTCTTTTATATTATGTGGATGGAAGAACATCTCCAGGAAATGCACGTCTGAATAACGACAATGAATTAGTCTCATCAGGCAATCTGACCGATTACTAGTTATAATGGTGTAATCAGCTTAATCACCTGTGTTAATGAAGAGTTAAGCTCCTGATTTTAAACCCAAGTAAAGCTGGGAAAATCAACATTAATCTTTCCCATAATGACCTTTCCTCTACTCCTTTTGTGTACATGTATTTTGACGGATAGTGCTGTTTTTGGAACGTCCATCCATAAGAAGTGGTGCAAATCTTTTTGTTCACTAATGGGATTCTGCAAACCTGGTTGCCTCTGCAGGTGCGACTAGGTGTGGCGTATTGCAGTGAATGTCAAGGGCAGGCATGAGTCATTGTGTCTGGGCCTGTAAGAACTAGAATTTGGAAGGACTAGATGGTAGTCTTGCCCTTCCACTGTCTGGTTGTGTCATGGGCTAGTTTCTTGCTCCTCTATAAATGGAGACATTGACACAAGAATGGGTCAGCATGTCTCACATTGATTTTCTACACTTCCTACCTTTTATCCATCACTACTTCAACATTTTGCTTCTGTTTCCACTGGGCCATAATTTCCTTCAGAGTTGGAAAACATGTTTTATCCATTTTTCATCTTCAGTTGTTAGCACACAAGTCAATGTGTTTGTTGATAGACAAACTAACTGAATGCTCATAGATTCAAGGAATCAAAAAATTCAAGCAGTATGCTACCGCCAGGTCCAGGGCTGACACTATTTTATTAATCTCACAACAGCTCCATGAGTTCTTAAAATATGAGGCAAATGAATCCCCCAAAGGCGAAATAACTTGTAGAGAAGTAGTGCAGGCTTGACCCCCAACTCTGTCTTACTGCAAAGGGTGTGTTTTTTTCTACCAAGTTGTTAGATTAGATCATGCCTGACTCTAATGACTGATGAGTGTCCCTGGATCCTTCCAAGATGTTCAATTCATCTTGATTCCTATCTTCTGGAAGATATTGAGATGAGCCAAACACAGTCCTCGGCCTGCAGAAGTCTACAGGCAGAGAAGCAGATGGGCAATCTGGATGTCCCCTTGCTTCCTTGTGACATTCCTGGCTTTTGCCCTCACCCCTGAGAGCCTTTCCTGCACACTGCACCAAGTGATTCTGCCGATACCAAGACGACCCCGTCCATCCTCTGCCCCAAACTTCCCCACAGTGGGGTCCTGTAGGGCTTCCACGGCACTCAGTCCAACAACCAGAGCCCTCCAGGTGGCCTGAGACGCACTTCACAGTGTGGCTGTCATCGCTGCTCTGATGTAATCTTGTGTCACTGTGATCCATCTTACTTAAAACTGCAGCTCCTCCCACTCTTCACAGCCTGGTACATACAAGGCCCTCAGGTGTTTGTGGAAAACTCAGTGAACAGGGGCTGGGGCTGTAGCTCAGTGGTGGAGCACTTGCCTAGCACATGTGAGGGCCTGGGTCTGATGCTCAGCACCCCGTTAAATAAATAAATAAATAGATAGATAGATAGATAGATAAATAAATAGATAGATAAAGGTAAATAAATAAATAAAGGTTTTAAAAAAATAATAGAAACATTAAAAAAAAAACCCTCAGTGAACAAAATCTATTGTTTGGTGAAATGAAGTTGGTACAGTGAGGACATAGGCTACAGTGCTTGAGGGACCCTGGCTAGCTCTCCATCACCCAAGTCTATTATTTAAAATAGTTACAGGAATAAGTACCACCTGGATTTCAGATACAGTTGTCTTTCTGTGTCTGTAGTTCTGCATCCAAGGTTCACTCAACAGCGGATCAAAGATAGTCAGGAAATAGAGCCACGATTGTGACTATTCTGAGCATGTACAGGCTTTTTCCCATCATGATTATTCCCCAACAACACAGTATAATACTATTTATGGAGAATTGATATTATATAAGAAATCTAGAGATGATTTAAAGTCTACAGGAGAATGCACATAAGGTTATATGCAAATATTATGCCATTTTATAAAGGTACTTGAACATCTGCAGATTTGGGTACCCATGAGTGGTCCTGGAACCAATCCCCTACGGATACCCGGGGATGAATGTGCAAGGAAAATGGGAAAATTATGGAATATCTCATGAATAGAAAATGAGGCAGTTAAAAATAATAGTCTTCTAGAACACTGTTTAATGACGTGGAATTATGTTGTTTTATATTCTGAAGCAAAAATCAAAAGAGCAAGTTATAAAGTCGTATAAAATAATCCAGTTTTGGATGCATATTTCAAATAAAGTTTAAAATTATTTCCCCGAGTTCTTAACTGTTTGTGCTGCAAGATCTCATGGAGTCTGTGTATTCCTTCTAACATTGACACATGTAGGTGCATTAGAAAGTAGGATAATGAAAGAAGCAAACGTATCAAAATGCCGCTGTGGTTTGAATGTGCTCTTCCAAATCCAGGGTGGCCCCAGTGGTGGTACTACCCAGGCCACAAGAGCCCCTCCCTTGTGAATAGCCTGGAGCTGTGTTAAGAGCCTGCCGCTTGTGACAGGGCAGGAGCTGTGTTCCAGGTGGCACTGGGCTCTCTTGCCCTTGTCCTTAGCCTCATAAAGACACCGTGCTCTCCAGACGGCCCTCCCCGCAGCCCAGCCTTGATCTTGGACTTCCTACCCTCCAAGTGTGGGACATAAAATTTCATTTTTCTTAAATTACTCAGCAGTACAAATGCACTAAGATAAATGCACTTCTCAAAAATGTTGAGCAGACTTTTGGCTTGGTTACATGTGTGCCTTTTAACTATCACCTAAGGAAGAAGATGATATACTTCAGCACAGGTTCACCAAAGTCGAATTTCACTCTTAAATGACCCGTCAGTGTGAAGGCTGCTGTGGCTTAACTTGAAGAGAATATTAAATTGTGGGGTGGTCTTTGCAAGGCACAGTCATTCACGTTGAATAGCCAATCAGTTTTTATCATTTTCATTACCAGGAGTAAAAATGTTACTTTTATAAACGGAATAAATTGCTTTCATAGCTTATTGTATAAGACGTTTCTCTTTAGAAACACTGGAATTCCTCAAGCCTTTTTATTTCTTTTCAGATCTTTGATTTGTTTTTACTGTGATTTAGAATCTTAAAAATTGTGGGTATCATTTATATACAGAGGAAAAGACAATCTTAAGGTATAGCTTAATGGGTTTGGGGCAAAGTGTAATCCTGTTTCCTTCCTCTGGACCTTCTGCCACCACATGTTACTTCTGTTATACCTGAACTTGGTACAAGTGGAAGGAGTGCTGCAGGATGGGCCCTTGGTTTCCGACTTTCTTTTGCTCATTGATTTTGAGTTCCATCCAAGCAATTGCATTTGTCAGTTGTTCTTTCCTTTTTATTGCTGAGTAGTATTCCATTGTAAACAAATTGTTTATCTCTTCTCTTGGTGGACTTTTAGATTGTTTCCAGTGGTTGGCTATTATGAATAAAGCTGTGATAGTCAATCTTATATGAATCTGTTTTTGGAAATATGTCTAACTTTATTTGGGTAAATAAATACCTAGGTATGGAATTGCCAGGTCAGGGGGTAAAATTATATTTCATTTTATTATAAACTGCCTGTCTGGAAGTTTGTGGGGTTTTTTTTTCTCCTTTTACTTCTTATTATCAGTCTTGATAAGGGATGATCAACTTTGCCAGTCTTTTTAAGGAAAAAATCCTTTTGGCTTTGTTTAATTTCTCTATTCATTTATTTTTCAGTTTATTTATTTCTGCCCTGATCTTAATGATTCTTTCCTTCTTTTTTAACTTAGGTTTAATGTGCTGATTGCTATTTCTGGAGGTAAAACTACATAGTTTTATTTTATTTTTTTTTCTTCTTTTAGAATGTAAATATTTAAAGGTCTAAATTGCCCTTAAGGACTTCTTTGGTTGTATCTCTACACTGCAAAATGCTAGATTTTCATTATTGTTCCATTTGAGATATTTTATACTTGCCCTGGTAATTTCTTTCTTGACCCCTGAGTAGTTTAGAAGTAGAATGGGCTATTTATAGGTACTTGGGGAATTTGCGGATTTTAGAAACTACATCTCATAAATATTTGAGGTATTTGTAGATTTAAAAAACTTATTTAAAACACTTCTATTTGTTAAGTCTATTTTCTGCTGTGCTTCAGGTCCCTTAGTTTCTTTCTCTATGTGTTAAGTTCACTGTTCTCACCGCCATGTCCAATATGTATTAAGGTCACACAATACTTTACTTTGGATATTTCATTTCCAAGTCTAAAAATTTTATTTGATTATTTTAAATAGTGTCCAATTCTCAGTTGAGATTCCTCATCTGTTCTATCATTACTCTATTTTTTCCTTTATATCCTCAAACATATTGAGATTATTTTAAACATTCTTCTGATAATTTTAATAGCAATGTCATCTCTGGGACTTCTTGTAATGACTTTTTTCCACTATTGATTATGAGTCACATTTTGTTGCTTTTTTCACATGCTTAGTACTTTTTGCCCACGATATGTCATAGATATGAAGCTCTTGATAGTATAGATCATGTTCTTTAAGGAATGTTATTTTTTACAATTAATTTAAGGGACTCACTTTAATCCACAGTAGTACTATTAAAGTGTGAATATTCTTAGGTCTTAAGTGAAGTCTGGAATGTTTAGTATGGCAGTTCTACTTTGCCTGGTTGGTAATCCATTCTTTTTTCATGGTGAAATCTTGTGGTACCCCCTTGGTTCTTTGTGCTAGACTTCTCAGGCACTTTTTCCTGAGTGTGTACAGCTTGGTTTTTATCCAGACTCATGATGGGCCCATGCGTATTTCTGGAAATCTTTCATTGTTTAACTTCTCTTGACCTAAACCTCCCGATTGCCTCAGTGACATCACACACGGGTATTTTTCAGTGACATCACACACGGGTATTGTCTGCTTCACCATTGGTAATGAGGCGGCTGAATGCTCTTTTGACCCTGTTTCCAAGTGCTGCGCATTATGCTTTCAGGCAGAAAACCAGGTAGGCATAGGGATTGCCCCGGGTACTTCTCTCATCTCATGAATTACAGCCTTGTTATATAACTGTGCTGCTAAAGGCTGAGAATGGATGCTTCATACATTTTGTGAATTTTGATGGTTGTTTTCAGTGGTAGGGCAAACCTGACATGCATTATTCTCTATTACAACAAAGTGGGGTCTCTTATCAAGGCCTTTTGAGTTAAATTCCAGTTTTAAGGACATGCTGTTTCACTGCTGGGTGGCTAAAGTGATAGCTAATTTTGTGTGTCAGCTTGAGTGGGGCATGGGGTACCATTAACCGTTATTTCTGGATGCATCTGTGAGGGTGTTTCCAGATGAAATTAACATATGAATGGTGCACTGAGTAAAGTGGGTGACCCTCCCCAGAGTGGCTGGCCACCATCCAATCTGTAGAGGTCCTAAACAGAGTGGGAATTCCTTCTGAGCTGAGGCTTCAGGCCTGTCCTACCAACCCTCTGGTTCTCAGAACTACACCACTGACTTCCCGGGGACTCCAGCTTGCAGGCCCTGGATTGGGGGAGCGCCGCAGCGTCCACAAGTGCATGAGCAAGTTCCTTATTATAAATTTCCACACATATTGTATTTATATATAGCCATATATACATCTCCTTTGGTCCTGTTTCTACAGAGAACCCTGACTAATGCACAAAACCACTGTCAGGTACAGATTAACAAACAGTCCAGGTGTGTCGTATGTCATACAAGGTAGGTCATATCTGTAGACAGACACTATTATCACATGGAATTTAGTGACCAACTAGTAGTATAATTTCAGAATTATATTGACAATTATAAACGCCGAGTAAGATACCTGCAGCAACCACAGTGTGGTATGAAATATATGGACTGCATTGATAAAGTCACTAGCAGTACTGTGGTGCAATTTCTATTTGTCCCAGCTTTAAAGTTACTGATATTTTCTTCTTTAGTGTCTAATCTGCTATTAAGCCTATCTATTAACTTTTTATTTCATTATTATATTCTGTAGTTTTCGAAATTCCTTTTGGATCTTTTATTTAAGTTTCCATTTTTATATTTCCTTTATGCTAATACTACTGTGGTTTGTTGTTAAAGGAAATGTAAAACTTTGGTAAGAATATCAGGTAAGAACATAAGAATATTTTATATTTGGTAATAATATAATAATACATATAATAATATAATATCTTTTCTGTTTAAACTCATGGGTCACCTGGATCCAAAATACTAATAGTAATAGTTAGCTCTGCGTAGAGAATATGGGAGATTCTTATTTTATTTTTTTGTTATTTTCTGTTTTCCTAATATGTCTTCAATGGGCATGTATTACTTTGTAGAGACTAAGTAGAACTTTAAACATATTAATATTCAAGTGGCATATAAAGACAATATAATATTCTTGTCAATATTACATCTTTGTAAAAAATGTGTTGCATGATATTGTTTTCATTATATTCCAGTTAAGGTGAAATGATTAAACAGACATGTTAAAATGATGGTAAGTTTTCTTAATGATGGAAAACACATAAAAAAGCAACATGATTAAGCATCAGGTCGGTATTTATTATGGCTGTTTTCTCAATTTTAATATGTGTGATATTCTATAAATATATCAATCTCACATACACGAAAGTCATTATTTTTTCAAAATGACGATTTGTATGAATAGTGTAATGGTAAATACTTAATGCTATCTCTGCCTTATTAGTTTAATACATTTTGTTTTCCAGTGTTGGAATTCAAAATAATGATGTCTTGCCATTGAGAAGAGAGAGTGCTTTGATTATTCCTGACAGTTAACCACAAGTATCTAGCCAGATTATTTAAAGGTAGGAGTCACTTCAAGGGAGTAGGCTAAGCTCTTGGGAAATAAGTGCTTTTTTTCCTTCAGGACATTTACTAAATCACCAACTTGTGACTTGAGGTCAGAAGCCAGTAATGATTAACTCCCAAGTTGCAAATTTTCATTTTGAGCAACCATTATTTAAAATAAAAGAATCCCACTTCCCTGTAGCTGTGTGTAACTCTGCTAGTCCTGGACAATGAGGTACAAAGACTAGACACTGGAAGAGGCAGAATTTCTAGATGGTGAACTCACCTATTTAAAAATTCAGGAACCACGTAATGCACGAGTGTTAAGTGACATCTGTGGGGGATTCCATCAGAAGCAGAGTCTTTTCTCCGAAGTGGAACCTCATGGCAGCTTGGATTCTGGGGAAGTGTTCCCCAGGCATCGTCCTGGACAGAGGAGGTGCCTGTGCTCTGTGTCTGGTGCTCTTGACAGTTGTGACTGTCCTGTCTTGGGCAGCAGCATTAGTGTGTCAGTAGGACACTGCTAAGTGACACAGCCATAACTTGGACCACTGGGACATTTCTCTTCCACATCTGGTGTACAAATTTGTTTCTCAGTGTGTGAAAGAAGCACTCCATCTTCAGCTGGGCCGGTGATTTGTAGTACGTTTAGTATTAATTGCTCACTATTCTGGGAACTTCACATATCAATTTGACTGTGCCGAACAGTGTGATCATTCACTATAAATGCATCTGAAATATTTCTTTGCAGCGGCAATTGCTAAAATGAACAGATATTTCTTCTTATCGTAAAATGAATTATACCTTACATCCTCAGGCTTGAAAGGGGGTGTGTGGAGTCACCTCCATAAACAGCAAGAGGAAGAGGAGCCTTCATTTATAAGAAGTTCAGGAGGAACATCCGAAACTGTTGGGGTGACTGCAGGAAACACATGGGTTTGGCTTCCTGTGGTCTCAGGGAGGGAGGCCCAGGACGGTTGGAAGGCTGGGGGTCTCTTGGGGCTTCAGATCACTTTTACATCAGCAGAGAAGCTGCCTCCAGTGTGCATTCCTCTCTACTATACTGTCACCGGAAATTTCTAGAACTTCTCTCAGTTCACCATTTTCCAAAATCACTTTTGGACCCTTTGCCTGCACTCCCTTTCTCTCTGGTGGCCTTGTGACTCGGACAACCACCTCAAAAGAGGAGATATTCTTAATCATGTAGATTCCCTGTTTTTGAGGATTTAAACATTGTTTGCTAATAACTATGGAGAGACACATGTACTTAATAGAAGATGACAAACAGAATTTGTAAAAAATCTAAAGTAGTTACAGTAAATTGCGCTGTCCCCTAGTCTACATAGAGATCTAGAGAGGCCGGATGTTTTTTTCTTTTCTTAGCTTTGTCTACTTCTTTTATTATCATTTTTTTGTTTAATTGGTTCTTTTTATTTATACATAATATTAGGGCTCACTTAGCATAATTATAAAAGCATTATACTTCCCCTTCCCTTTCCTCTTCCTTCCTCCTTTCCCCTTCCCTCTATTCCTACTGGTCTTTCTGTTGTTTATTTATTTATTTATTTATTTTTAAGTAGCGTCTCTGGATCTACACGCTGGTGAGACTCACTGTGGTAGGTTCACATGTGTGCGTAGAGAGTTGGGTCAGGTCACCCCACTGTCTTTCCTTGCCCCGCCCCCCTCCCCGGCTTCTTCATGATGTGCTTCTTCTCTGCCGACCCGTTCTGTCTATACCCGCTCTCCTCCTGCTCCTTAAGGACTAGTGAATCCTGCATTTGCCCTGTTGCATAAAGCGACTTCTTGAAGTTCTTGGTGAAAATATGGATCAAATGGCCCCAGTCAAGATGGGGAACGTCGGAGTTTCCTGAGGAGAGCCCTTGATTTTCTGTCTTACATGATTTCTCAGGAAATCTACATGATTGGACACCCCTGGGGAGAGTCCCCTCCACTCTCTACTGCGGGCCGGCGGGCCCTGCGGTTAGTGGGACCAGGGCACTCTTGCACAGCACTGCCCGGGAGGAGGCTGACTTCCGGCTCTCAGGAAGGCTCACCCATCCACCCACGACCTGCAGCCTCCCCCAGACTTTCTGAAGGCTTCATATGGGGGTGTTGGAGGCCGTTGAGCAGCAAAAGGAAATGAAGGTTTGTGCTGGCCCAAAGCGCAGGCCAGGGATGCGCTTGCTCTTGCACCTGTGGAAGTGGGAGGCAGCTGACTCTGGGGTGCAGGAGAGCCTGGCTTTTCAGTCTCTTTCCATCAGTCTTGATAGGTCTTATCTTTGTTTAAAAAATGAATGAGAATTTTTGGCAAGCAAGACTTTGCTTTTTTCAATACTAGTGGGTTAAAATGTCTCCGCCTTGAAGAAGTTATTTGCAATCAATAACAGAGAGCGGTTGGGTCTCCCCTCTCAGGCAGGCGTGTTGTTCATGCTGGAGTCGGGTTCTTCTGGGCCACACAGGCACAATTAGATATCCGGAGCTGCTGCTTCCTTGTGACCTTTGTGAGGAGCTCGGCAAAGCCTTGGCCTCTCAGGAGAGCCCAGCGGGGGGACTGGTGGGCCCAGGTGGGGCCCGAGGGCTGCAGGCTCTGAAGCTACTGGCTTACCCTGAAAAAGAAGAAAAACAAACCCCACAAAACTGCCAAAGAAAAACCATCTTCCTGCTATCTGGTGCAAGTAGCAAAGTGCTCTTTTAATTGTAGCTGTTGCTCTAATTTAAACGGAAAGTATTTTACATCCATTTTTCTCAAACTGCTCTAATCGCGGTAGTGTTCATTTTGCCTTAATGTAGCAAATACGTCTGACTACTTAATTTTGCTCCTTTTTATAATATGGCACTTTAGATTTTAACATCCCAGGCTGTTCTTGTATATTTCCAAAGTAGAAACAGACCGACTAACCTCCCTGAGTTACGCTGTGACTTTTAAAATTAAGCACTACTTTCCCATGACTTATTTCATTCAACTCCAAATCAAATAATGGCTTTCGATGTCTCCGGTATTTTAAATTTAGATGGAAATTAAGTTCAACATGAACCATATTGGGTTTATAATAGTCAAATATCATTTTAAGAGATTATTGTTTGAATGGATCATTTTCTCAGGGGCTACTATTTGTAGCTAAGTGAGTAACAGTGGGTTGCTCCTGTCCTTATTAATGCATAGATGGCTTTTCTTGTTTTCAATCATATAGATAAGAATCTTTTTCCAGAGAGAGAGGGGGGAGAGAAATTCCCTCTGTAACATTATAATTTTCTGATGGGATGCATCAATTTCTCCATACATTTGTCTTAAATCATTAGCATAGGCATCATCCACACAGTGATTCTTGATGGAATGATTTTAAGTGCATTTTGGGGTTATAACTTTTTCTGTAAACGTTATGTACTAGATTGAGCAGTGTCATTGGTGAATCCTTAAATGGTCGCAGACCTTGTCCTTAATGGGGATTGGCAAGAATGTCATTAAGAATCTTGTAGTAGAGAAATCTGAACTATAGACCATGAACCTCTGATTCTGCATGATTTTCTAGTTTTTCTCTGCCATGCCACCCCTGCAAGTTCTGGTCCCATAAATGCAACAAGTGTTGCAGAAAAACTGTTGAAAAGCAGAGTACTTCTCATATCAGTGCTACCCACTCACTTCATTTTGTAGCTTTTGCAATAACCTTAAGCTACTTGACTGTTTAAATTAACATTTATTTGTTGCATTGTTGGGTGCAAATGTCAGCCTAATGCTGAGGAAAGGCACCTATCCAGAGAGGTGGGAAGCCTGGGCTTTGGTCATCTCTCTGCCCTCCTGAGCTTGGGAGAGCTGGTTAACATTGTCTCTGTCATCCTTATTTGAAAGCTGAAGATGTTGCCACTGGACTTCACCCATGTGGACTTTGGTTTTGAACCTATAGCTAGAGCTAGATCACCACCCGCCTTGTGTTCTGCTGTACAGAAGTATTTTAAATTTGTGGAACAGAGAGTGCAAAGTGTCTTGGATGTGTATAGGAAGCTGGCGATACTTGGAATATATTTGATACTGATTGTCATCAATTTTTCCAAGGTAGGATTCTGACATGAAAGGTGGAGAAGGAGCTATGTTTGTAAGTTTTGAAAACTTACAAAAGTTTTTCCTGAAAGGGGGAAAATGCTCCTTAAATTTCACTGGATCTGGATTTTTAATAAAATTCCTTATCTTTTGGTTCTTTACATGGATCTCCAAAAGAGATAGGACAGTGAATCTGTGGCAAAGGCTTTGGTCTGTAGTTTGGCTTAGCTTTTTCTGGATTATATTTTTAAAATTGCTAAACAGCTAACAAATTCCCTTAACTGTTTGGATGCAGATTTTGCCTGTATTCAGGGTGTGAGATGCCTATTTTTGTAAAGCAGGACATAAATAAAGGGAATAAATAAAATATCACTCCACTAGGTTTGTTTTTCTCTTTTATCCTCTTCTTTTCTTTCCAAGGGTGTTGAAATCTGCTGAGATTTATTTTGTGGATGGTAGGTTGCTTCTGGTTATCAGGCAGTAAAGGTGTTCTGTTATTGTTTACTATTTCAGCAGCTCTGAAAGGTGCATCTGAACACTTGTACTTATAATAGGCAGAAATAATGAAAAGCCATTTTTGCTAGTGATATCTAAAGCTTTGATTTACCTCTTCAGAAGGTGAAAGATTTATTGCTGACACCTAAGGTGGTTTTGAAAGATAATGTGTCACGGGGCCATAACTGGGAGAGACTTTTGAGGTTTGATCTCAGGTGCCATGGGTTAGAGTGGGGAGGAGAATTTTCAGAGATATTGATTATGGCTGCTGTGGGGCACATACAGAAAGGTGGTCACCAGGAATTGGGATCCTGGCCAATGAGAGGATGTGTGGATTAATGTCGTCATCTGGGTTGCTCTTCCAAACGTGCCAGTGGGTGAGATGTGGCACCTGCATTGCAGGGGCAGTGAGAATCTTGATTATGTCACATGCAACTGAGAACCCAGATCATCAACAAGGGACCTACCTGGGTCTGGATGCTGCAT